GTTTATATATATACAATATATATGTTAGTATGTAAGACCAAGATTGTAAGTAGAGGTGTAAAAACTGTCTTCCATTACATCAGGAGACAGACTTGGAGAAACAGACAAGTCTCTGGTTACAAAATTCTTCAGATCCAAAACTGGAAGCAGCATATTCAAATTTAACTATAATTTGATAAAAAATCCTCTGAGTTTCAGTAACCATCTTAGAGGAAACGGAGATGCTATCAGTAGAAAGAGAGACAATATTAGTCAGAAGGAAGGCTGTATGATAGCAATCTTATATTAAAGAAAAAGAAGAGACAAGTTACAAGTTCTGGAAACTAAGGACTAGTTGGAATGAGGGAGATAGATGGGTGTTTTTCATGACAGACCACTTTTTAAGAAGAGAAACCAAAAGATGCAGGGATCTCGATAGTCCTGTTGTGGATGGGGGATTTCACTGGTGTAACAACAGCAGGTGTGGGCATGTTTTGTATTTACCGCAAAAAAACATTTTGAATGAAGTTACCAGGATATGTGCTGGAACATAAAGGATTTTCCTCTGAGAATGATGCTTACTGAGATTAGTGGTTATGTCAAGGTACCGAACAGGACTGTGAGGAATCGTTTTATGGCAGGTCTTATCCAGGTTACAGGTTCTATTAATATGCTTAATTACTTCATAATGCTGCAGAAAAAGGCCACACTAGGGTAGTAACAGAGTAAAGCTGCTTTGGCTAGAATACAGCTATGAATTTTGCTACTGCAGTGATTCCAATAATTTCAAGAAAATGTCAGTTACTGAGTGTAAAGTTATTGTGGGTGAAGAGCAAATAGACAAGCTCTGTGTATCACTTGGCTGCAGCTCTGATGTTCAGCATTCGAGGCAGAATATATGGCTTGCCTGCTACTGGACAATGGTCTACTGCCTGGTGAAATCTACGGTGGCTTTGAAGTGGTTTATGTTCTGACATCTGTTCACAGAGGAAGTCCATTGTGGTCCAGGGAGGATCTGGAGCTTGAGGTTATAGTAGATGAACAGTGAGCCTTATTCATCTAGATACTGTTTTTTTGGAGTGGTTGTGTGGTTTGAATTCTGTGGCCAGAATTCTCTCATTTCTGGATCTTGGGCAAGATGCAAAAAGCTGCTAGGAAGAAGGGTGAATTATTTCACATCATTTTCTTGGACCCAATGCACAAGTGAAATAGCTACCTTTAATAAATAACTAAAATGTACAGCAACATTGTCCCTCCCTCTAGACTCATTTCTTTCTTTCAAAAGAAGACATGCCAGAGAGAACACATTAATCTAGCTAGGTCTATTTCACTCCCATAAGCAAAAAAAGAGTAAAACTGAGAAACTGGCTGGGAATCACAGCTCTTGGCTTGTTATCTCCACGCAACAGATAAAAATGCACATTATAGAGTCCAGTTACGTTCTGCCAGGAACTGCCTGGAGATGTTCCACTGAAAGCTAATCACCTTATCTGAACAGGAAAAGCAGTACCCTCTTCCACAGACGTCAGGATCCTGCTGGGTTCTATCTGTGGCAGAACAGGTATAGTGTGCTGCTAAGAATTTTGCTCTTGGATTGAGGAACATAGAAGCACCTAAAAGGGTCTGTCTGTAAAATATGAGCCAAAAGTTCATTGTGCCCTTACCCTTTCCTACCCAGCAGAAAAAAGCCTCCTCTGTAACAGAACAGGAACTGTCATCTGTTATTTGAAATCTATGAAGTGTCCTATCCCCTATGTATTTTTTCCCTTAAAATGTGAATTTTTTTTCCCCTTAATAACATTTGTAGTTGCCTTTTTTTTTTTTTTTTTCCCCTGCTTTGCCTTTTATTTTTTCCTATACTATAGCCATGTAAAGTGTGAGGCTATAAAGTCCCTTTGAACTTATTTCAGTGCCAGGAAGGACAGCAAAATTAATCTTCTGCATCTAATTGAAAACCAGATCAACAAATATATTTCACAGACTTTACAGCTATTCAACTCAGATAAGGTATGTAGTATTCCACCAGTAAAAAAAAATATTTCCAGTATTATTAAGAGAGTATGATAGGTAATTATTTTGAAAACAGTCTGAGAATTCAGCATAGCTTTGTTGCTTTTAGTGTGAGGTAGTAATAATATTCTCTATGGAATATAGTTATTTAAACTTTTCAACTGCAAAGCACAATTTGCTTTTTATGAGGGTGATCACTAGGAAGCTATTCAAAAAAACACAAACAAAAGCAGTTCAGTTTACTTATCCAACTACATATATCAACACAGACACAGGTAATAAGAAAGTATTTATTACAACTACAACAAATTTAAAAAACAATAAACTGTAAATATTCACTCACCAGTGCCAATGCTATTTGGCTATTGCACAGAAAAACATCGAAAGAAAGAGGGAGGAAAAGAGAATAAGAATTTCAATATATCATGAATTTTCTTTAACAATCCAATACTCAAAACTCAGAAAGTCTGATCCTGGTAGAGCCCAGACTCCATTCTCCCAGACCAGAAGCCTGACTACTAGGCTCTAGCATAAGAACGGCCAGCTGTTCCCAGCACTTCCTTAAGTAAATACAGAACATGCAAGGCAATTTGATGGGCTCAGTGTGGGTGGATGCTTGTATCATACAAACATCATTTCACTTTGTACTGCTATGATCTTAGAAACTGAGTTGGTGTGCATGACAACCCCAAGGCTGTACTGCAGCAAAGGCACAGGACAACATGAGACATCCGCGCTAATCTGTGATTCACCCGTTATGTGGCTAAACAGGTTTTGGTATTCATGGCAAAAATCTGCATCCTCCAGCCTGTAAAGTCTATGTAAAAAGCAATAATTATGAAACTCTCATAAGCTGGGATTTGGGGAAGAGGAAGTGGTTGGGGTAAGGGCACAGTTAGGCTTAAAATTATGTCATTCTGTCAAGAAGAAGAGCAGTGTATAGGAGTATTTCTTACTCTGCATCCCCCATGTAAGAATCCTTTAACTTCCCATCTCACTTAGGCATGCAAACCTATGACAGCACAATAGCATTCTTACTTGTACTCTGGATTGTCCATCCACTTAGCATACAGTTCAGATGACAGGTTCAAACAGTCTTGGAAGCCCAGCCAGCATGCTGTTGCAAAAAGTTTTTCCAAATACACTCTTGAAGGCAAGCCAAAATAGCACAAATAAAAGATGTGTATCCCACATGTGCAGTACTTGAACTGTGCTTGACCTGCACAGTTTCAGAACATGATGTTGTTAACCCAGGAAAATATCTACTAGAAACAGTTGAAATTTAAGAAGGAAAAAAAAACCCCTGGACTACAAATAATGGGTTCCTGACTTTAATATTCATGGACATTAGTGAGGCTACTAATGTACTACAATTTTTCTTAGTTTCCTGGTTGTTTTACATCCCTCTTGTTAAAGAGACTAGTTGCATCTAGTCCAGATCACTCTGACGTTCAAGACTGTGGCCACAGTGGCGTTGCAAAATTAAGTAATTTAAAGTGCTAGTGATTGATTAATAAATCATATCTGAAGTTCATTGCTGTCAGTTTTTCCCCCACTAGCAGCAGCCTGTTGAGCCTGTTCCCCAATAACCAAAAGCTACCATTCAGACCATTAAACTACAATCTTTTATGCTCACTAAATAAACTGAAAATATGCCAAACTATCCTGAAACTGTAGTTTCATTGGAGGTGTCACCCTAAGTAACATGCACTTACAGGAGGGTAAAAACAACAATTCATTTATATGCAAATTAATCAGAGCATTTTTCCTGTATCCTGTGTTTAAATTTACAGAGGCAAACTGTGGTTTATCAGATCAAATCACATCAGAACAAGCTTTTGAGAAAAATAGAATACTTACTGAGCAAAATAGTCATCTTCCAAAGCATCAACATTTTGACGAATAAAACCTGCATAATAATGGTATATTGGCAACATTCTCTTTAAAAGGTATTTCTTTTAAAAGAAGGAAAAGAAAAATTACTTTAATTTAGATGCAAGTTTTTATTTTACTCCATTTTTCTTTACTTCCTCAGATTTAGTCTTAATATTTAGCACTATTAATTCCCTGGCAACACAGCACATAAAGTGTATAGATTAGGTCTAAAATTCAGTAGACCTGTACATTCACTCAGTTACCATTTCACATCACTAGTACCTCTGATCTCAGTATGGACTAAAACAAATGCTCATTCATGGAGAAAAGTAACTTCTCAATAGAAAACACTTTGTTCTTGTCACATATTTTAAACATACCTTCACTTTTAGAATGGAAAAGAATTACTGTTGTAGTTAAACACTTAAAAGTGATATCTTGTTCAAAGAGAAGTCAAGTAAGTAAATAAGACAGAACCATGTCAGGTAGCTGAAATATGGGAGAGAACCGTCTCATTTAGTATCCAAACTCAACTTCTTCTTTCCATGAAGATGAACTGGAAGGCACTACAAACCACAGAGCACATTCATATCACATGCCCTGTATGCATAGCAGTGTTACTGTTACTTCTGTTTACTACTCACTGATACCTGCATTTTCCAGATCACCAGTTTTATAAAAAAAAAAAAGGATCAAGCTTAATATAAAGAATGTGGATATATTTTCACCTTACACTAAGAATTGCTCAAGATTCAATGATATTTATAATTGACTAATATACAGAAATAAGTACCTCCTCCTATTTAAAAAAAAGTTCACAAAATCATAGAATCATAGAATGTCTGGGCTGGAAGGGACCTCCAAAGGTCATCTAGTCCATGTTAAAAATTATGTAAAGGGAATGACAAGAACTATGACCCATCATAGTCATCATTACATTATTGAAAATTTAAAAAGCATTCATTTTAGTCTGATTTATTTAAATGGTTTAGTATCTTTACTAACCAACAAAAAAGGTGATACCTTTAGAAGTGGATATACTTCATAGCTCTTCAGAGTACTTTCCAAATTCTCAGGTACTATGTTTAACAATACCACATTCCATATGAAGAGTTCATCTTCTCTGGCAAGGTACTTTGTTAGTTCAAGCGCTGTTTCAATCTGAATGTATCCAAACCTATTCAAAAATTTAAAAACTTATACTTGAGCATACCTATTCACATTAATCATCTACCACAATTACCTGATTATTTATGAAACTGACAATAAAGCATCAAGATACTGTGTGGAAAGTGGCCTAGAAAAGACAATGGAAAAATAAAATACATATAAAACAATGGTGCTCTTAATAGCTGAACTCTCAAAACATTTATTATGGAGCACAGTGCCAGTATCAAAGTAATAAGACACTCATGACAGTGAGCGTGGCAGTATGCAGCCTGCATTCTGCTTGTGTATGCAGGACACAGGCATATTTAACAGCAAGCATCAGTCTCACTAGAACAAAATGAAAGAAGAGAGCACTGTTTTGAGTTATAATACACACATATTTTTATTGTTAGCCAGCACGTTTTCAGTACAGGTTCTTTCATGGAATATATACTATTGTAAAAATTAAACAGTTTCATTCACATGCATACAATTAATGGAATTAACAACTCCAGCATGGCATTTCTGTGCCTTAAGAGTAGAATCAGTTCACAATTATTTTTTTCCCCATAAAATTCTAATTGAAACCCCTGTTGTTCCTCCAGAACAGAAACATTTCTAGCATACTTATACAGGAGCACAGTTCTATACTTCATAGTTACATTCCTTATAAAATACTAGTTTTGAGCTCACTCATGAGAAAGGACATTTCTCTAAGAGGAGCAACGGGTATTTTCACTTCCTTCTCTCAGAGCTACCTCCACAGGCTATGAGGCTGGGGCAGCATGCTTTGGCCACATCCTCCCTGAGCTCCCACATCACAGGTGCCTGATGCGTTTGGGATGTCTGGTATATTTGGAGCACAGACATATTTATTGCTTCTTCATCTCCCTACAGTACTGCTGAACTCTCTAGTATGAGTTCAGCATGAATGACTGAGTCATTCATCAGCAAAAGAAATGAAAGAGGCATTAAGAATGATGCAGGACAGCATAGCTGAGATAGCCCAAAATAAATCAAGGAATATTTGGAATGTTCATTCAGAACCTTTTTTATGTTACCAAAAAATATAGGTTAGTCTCTAAAAAAATAATGACAGTGCCATTATTAAAAATACTTCCTAAGAAGAATAGATTAAATACTCAACTCCTCCAGTATTTTGTCAAAACAGTTGATGTTGGTATCAGGCACATATGGGTAGCAATGAACATAGCTGAAGTAGCAATGTTGAATGCAATCATGGAGTTTAACCATTTCCTCTTACATACTTGAAACATACTTACTGTGTCAATGCAAAAACATCATCAATCAGCTGGAACCTGCTGACAGGGGGTATAGCCTGCAGAGAGCATTCACATGGTGTTAATAGATCTAAACATGTCATTAAGAGTTTTTTTTAAAAAAAAAAAAACAAACCTTTCTATGTTTCAGAAGGATAACACAAGTCCCTAACAGTTTTTCTTAACCAAAATCTTCTACAAAATGTCATAAAATGGATCCTGTTATTTGAAGCTGAAATGATGTATGTGCTTTTAGGGATGATTATTTATACAAATACATAAATATACAGCTACATAATGGTTTTCTATATAGAATATATTAAACATGGAATTTCAAGACTCCTCTTAGTTGCATGCTGTAATGAAAATTAAAATTTGGAAATGCTACGCTTCCTAAAAATATCCTAGTTATATCATTTTGGTACATTTTTTTTCTCTTGAGGCTTCAATTCAGAGTACAGACTCAGATTAGAGCAGAGTGCCTGGTGCCATCATGATTTAAATAAGAGAGGAAGAGTCGTGGGTGAAGCCCTGCCTACAGCTCATGCTCTCAGGAAGACAGCTGGTCCCTCCTTGGCTCCTCCCTGCTTCCTTCATCCCTTCAGCTCGGCTGCTGCTCAAGCAAACCTTCCCACTGGCTGGGGGCCCCAAAACGGCCCCAACCACGAAAAGCTGACTTGGATATGCTGTGGAAGAAAAAAAAAAGCCTAGAAGAAAAGAAGCCAATGTACTATAGAAAGATTTAACTATGCTCTGGCCCAGACCTTGTGAAGAAGTCATCTGACCGCACTGATTAGCTACTACTATGCAAAAAGTTTAAGCTTTCTCTCTGTTGTTACCAAAACAAATGAGGTGACATCACTACTGGAGTCTGCGGCTGACTTTAGGGTTAAGCAATCCCATACACAGTCACAGGTATAGGCTGTTCTGTACCACTTTCACCTTCAGCTCAAGCTCTAGCAAGTCAAAGGTGAGATGAAACCTACTCTGAGTTACATATAATGTTTACAGAGGACGGAAAGATCCCAAGGAGAACTGATTGGTACTTTTATAAGAAAGATTTCTGCAAAAAAAAAAAAAAAATCACCAAGACCCAAACCAATTAAAAACAAAACAAGCAAAACAAAACAAAACAAACACAAACAAGTCAAGTGATATTTATTTATTTTTTAATTTCACTGTCAGAAATATTGTGCTTTGAGGAATAAAAAGCTTTCTCCAGCTTTCCTTCTCCATGGTTACCTAACCACAGATAAAGCTCAGTCATACATCCATACCAATAAATCTTTGGGCCATATTTAAAGAGACTGGAAGAACCACAAGCTCTTAAGACAACTTTGAAGACAGAATCCCATCTCATGTAAAGTTATTCTGCATGCTTATGTGAAGCTATCTGCATCTGTTCCTCTTCCACTATGTAGGGCTGCCAGAGACTTTAGTGGTACAACAATGAATCATTTCTTCTGTGACACCTGAGTTTATCATTACTCCAGGTTTTCCTCAGTGTGATTACTGGTATGAACAGCAAGAAGAGATATATGGAAAGAGTCTGTTTATAAGCTTGAGAAAACAAACGTGATCTTACCTTAGGATTAATTTCAAGCAATCGTGATAGTCTTTTTAAGTTTAATTGATCATAGTTCACTCTGTAGTATCCACTTAAATTTACATTTAACAGGATCCAGTCATATTCTGACTCTGATACTCGCATTTCAGGGAACACTTCTGTAAGTGACATTAAAATGCATAATTTTATTTTCTGCACACTGATAAATTCTCTTGCATTTATGAACACTGGACTGGGTACTCCTCTGTGATCTGAGACACAAGTTTGAGGTTGGACTCAAAGAGAATCCCCCAAAAGGTCAGTGCATTTGTGATTTCTGCACAGAACTCCAACAATCAACTAACTTCTTAGGTACTGAGCACCTTGGGATGGCAATGGGAAGTCTGAAGACACGTGGTGCTCCTACCCATTAGCTCATAAGCTGCCAGGAGAGTTCAGAAAGGATATGTAAGAATAAACAGTCTAGGTGAGGAGCAATACCCCCATATGGCTGCTGCAGGGCAAGCACTCCAGGCATGCCTCTTGCCCCCCGTGCTGCTCCAAAACAAACATGGAGTACCTTACAGAAGAACTGACCACCTACCAGTATTCACATATATGGAGATAAAGGAAAGCAAAACAGCTAAGTTTATACAAGAGATAAGCAATCAAAAAAAAATTATTTTTTATAAAGTAGACCCATAGTCCTTTTAACTTACATGACACACTAAAGGCCTCCTTCTGGAGTCCCATTTTGTCTCACTACTATCTATGTGTGCTTGTCTACAGCCTACAGTACATCTGAAGGAGACAGTGCAGCTTTCAAGGCCCCAAGTTGCCTCATCAGACAAGGATTCAAACACTGCTCTGACTACAAGCATCCTGACTTAAGGCAGCAAACTCTCTTAAGACAGTAAATCAATATTGGTCAGTAGTCTAGACCCAGCACTGCTTTACTCTGAACAGAACAGCAAGACCTCAGTGTGTTTTGACAGAGCAAATACTACAGGATTCATCCTTAGTCATCTTCATAAGTCAGATGAGATGGAGAAGTGGCACATGACTGGCAAACCTATTTAAAAACAGCATGGGTGGCTAGAAAATGGCAGCAGCAGTACTTCCCCTATAGTGGCAAATCAGTTCAATGCTCTGCTGATCATAAAGAGCACTTTTAGATTCAGCTAAAATAGCAAAACTATGCTCCTCCACACCCTGGGCTGAGTGAAACTTTCTACCATAACACCATCATCCTCCCAGTGTGTCTGTCTTTGCTATGCAGACGTCTCACTTGGGGACAGTGACCAACACAATTATGTGGGCAGAAGCTAAGTACGTAGACATTGCCTGAGGAGCCCTGAGTCAACAGCACAGGCTTTTAACACAGTACCATACAGCACTGAAAGAAGCCTGGCTGCTGGCAGCAGCCCACCTTGGATCTTGGATTTTAATTTAATCTGTTTAGAACTCAGATAAACTAGCTCCTGCAAAGCTCTTTGCAGCAAAAATACACATACACAAAATCACTTTTGAGATATTTCCTTTTTAGGTATGGTTATGCCACCGCAGCAAGTATTTCAAAATTTAAGTTAAAACTGTAGTTTGTACCAAATCTCTCATTTTCACTTACGAAACACATTCTGATTAATACCTCTGAATGAAAATATAATAGTTCTCTACCATCTAAAACTCACAGGAACAAAACGGTAACTGAATTGAAAATTACCCTTAATTCTTCTACATTCATAAGAAATTATTTTATTTATGCATCAAATAGCCAAGAAGAAAAGTCTTATTTTTTGAATCTTAAAACTTGAATGCAAGTTCCTTGACCAGATAGCATCTGCTAAGTTTGATACACATCTTTCAAAGACAAGTGGACTGTGTTTTAAAGACTGAATCTCTACTTTGTCATACTCCCTTCAGGCACATGCAACATGATGGGGTTTTCTAATAACTTCTGTAGTTCTTAAGACACATGATGGATGAGGAAATGGCATTGGTGTCACTTCAGTAACACCAGTTTAGCACACAACACTAGTCTGTCCAAGCAAGTGTTGCCTGACAACTTTTTCCCATTAATTTTCTCATTTTTCACCTTAGCAAGCAGTGGTTTATTTTACTTTAAAATATTCAGATGAATAAACATCCACTCTTTGCTTATTTACTTGTCCTTAGTGTGAAATGATCTCTGAAGCTACTTTACTGCCTGAAAAGGAGGGAAAGTAGCTTTTAACCACTATGTACAGAGGGTGGAGAGATGCAATATGGACACAGCATATTGTAGTTTTGCTCTTAAACATTCCACAACCCATCAGTCTCTCTGTCTCCTTGTAACTGATGCAAAACCTGATGGGAGTCCAGGGCTGAGTTGCCAAACAAAAATTATTACACCACTCTAAAGATGACATTCCTTCTTTCTCAAAAAAATACAGCTATTTATTGGAAAGCACTGAGATGAGAAAGATGTGAATTTTTTACTAGATTGGAGATGCCCATAAACTCATTTTTCTGTAGGAGCCTTTAAAACTTTTTAAAATTCTACTATTTTATCTTGATAAGAGTATTTTTTGCATTTCATTTGCCTAAATACATTAAAACACTGCTGAAAATATAAATTTTCTGGTTTTACAGATAACCATGTGTGACAATGTTTATTCACTTCACATAGCTGTTTTTACTTTTTTCAGTCTTGTTTCTACTTCTTGAGCTGACCATTTTCTGATATATCACAGCTGAGATCCTAGCTATACTCAAAAGCTGTCATTAACATCAGTGGGATCTGCTGAGCTAAGAATAATTAAGGAGGTAAGAGTTTGGATTTGTGTACAAAATTACAAAATTAAAATTATGGAGAAAATCTCATAATATGTTGTCATATTATTTAAAACAATATAGTAAAGTTTGATGAAATATGGAAGAAACTAATATATTAACCTATTTCAAAATCTATAGCTATCATAACACAAAATTAGCACAACAGATACACATAGACATTTCTGTAACAAATTTTCATCTCCCTGTACAATTCAAACATATCCTCTGTATACAGAAGAGTTAGGTGTGTTTTCTTCATCTTGATTTTAGCTAACATGTGTGAAAAAATGCATTACTTACTGCTGCTCGTATCTAGCCACACTAAGGGTTGTGATGATCCATTTCTCATCCAAGAAATAGGAACAATCCATGTATTACTTAACAACAGCAAAAAAAAAAGAGATCATAGAATTAATTCTTATTCTTCAAAAAAATCCCCTCTCAGCTGACGCTAAATGAGATTGTTGATGAAGTCCTTCTTATAAGAATCTCCATCGACCTTCTCTCCTCTCTGATGCACAAACCTTCATCAGATGGTGGTTCTTATGCCGGATCAATGCTTACATTCATCACAGATAGGGGAGTTCTAGTACATATTTAAGTAGACACTCATATCTAGAATATTATTTGAGATATAATATTATAGGTATTTGAATGCCACTGTATCTCTGTGATCTGGCCTTCCTTCTTCAGGTAATAATTTTATTCTTCTCGCTCATTACACTTTACCCTATTTCAGGAGAACACAGAGTTCCTTTTCAGAAGGGTGTCTACTGAGAAAGGTTCCAGCCAAGCAATACAACTGTAATTATGTCAACTGTCATTTCCTTTCTGAAAGTATGTAAAACTCCTGGAAAAAAAAAAATATATGAAAGCTTCAAAACCCTGAAAAAATCTGTAATACATGCCCTGGATTTTCTTGCATTCACACGGTATTGCCTCTTGCTAACTACAGCAAAGACATTAACACTTGAAACTTTGAACTCCTTATCCGAGTGAGCCAAAACACTGAATGGACTAACACTCTGCAACTCCTTGAGCTCAAGAGGAAAGGAAACTCTGTGGTTCTTGTCAAAATCTCTTTTCACTGCTCATATGATCAAAAATAGCAACCAAGGAAAAACTGCTTTTGGTTTTGCTCTCCTTTACACTTTTTCTCTACTTGAAAACTCATCTCATGGGCTCCATGCATCCCAACACTCATGACAGCTGCTGAATTTCATGAAAGCTCAAACTCTGAATTTCCAAAATGGATGATCAAAGGCATGTCCTTCTATCACTGTTCTTAGGCATCTAAATAAGCAGCACAGCTTTCAAAAGCACCAGGCACTCTGTAGTGTTCACTGACGGGAACATTACCGCTGCATGTTGGGCACAGGGCACTTCTGAGAAAGGGGTCACTTGTAGAAGTACATAAACGTAACCCCTTTGTCCTTGCCCAGTAGAAGAGACCAGGAATATCTGCAGTGGAAAGAAGCTACAGCATGGTTCATCCAAGTCCCCAGTCAGTACAAGTGGGAAATGAGGAAAGAAAATGCCAGGCAACGCTTTTGCCCTGCAACCTGTTTGTGGTCTATCTGCCCTTACGAAGCCGTTGTGTGGCTGGAAAAGTCACGACGCCAAAGGAAAGCAACCTTTTGGCGTCTGCACTATTCAGTTTGAAGAAACATTGCAAACTCCAGTTGCAAACAGATTTTACTTGACAGCTTGTGACAAGAAAAAATATAAAGTTAAAAAATCAGAGGTTCAAAACATGATGTCCTAACAAAAGAATTTCCTGGAAAAAAACAGGGTATAAATATGCAATAAAAACACAAGCTAAACATACTTGTAAGAATTAGTTCTGTTTTCATTCTTTCTATTAAGAAACTGTTCCTGACTAATTGTGCCAGTGGTTAGATTTAATGTTAAAACTGGAAACCCCTTTTGGTGTGTCCAGGAATCCATTATTTGTTTTACAGATGCTGGCAACTGAACTTCATCCTGTGCGTCTACGGCCTGCAAGAGAAACAGGAATGAGAAGTATTTATGGTAAAGAAGCACTTACTGATACCGCTTCAGCAACATTCTATGGGTTGTTCTAACACACTACAGAAAATACGGATGGTGGTTGGTAGTTTGCTGGTCTTTGATTCACGCAAAAAATCAATATAACAAAGCCCAAAGGACATTATTTATATTATAATAAAGAAAGCATAAAGCATTTTTAGTAACTATGAAATACTGAGGTGACATCTCTCATTCTTAGAACTTCACTGCTAAACCTTCTCTTTTTAGCATTAATATACTTACAGCCCCGTATGGCTATGACAGACACTCTGATATGGCAAAACTTAAGCTCCAGAAGAACAGGCTATGAAATTTCACGTAGCCTTAGGCAATTTCGAGGAAACACAAAATTCCACCTGGCCCTCTCACCTCTCTACACCCCATACGTCACTCCACTGATCTCTGGTGCAGTAAAGCAGCCAAATAACCTTTTGTGAAGACATTAGCTGAAAGAGCCAGCAAAGCAAGTTTTAAACAAGAGAAAGACTGCACCGGGGATAGCCAAACTCCAGTGCAGTCTTCTACAAACAGTGTATTAGGCTGTGCCAAATACCAGGGCAAGAATACTACAGACTGAATGAGTACCATCTGCACGTGGGTCCAGAGATCATCTTGGTTAGCATTTGAGAAGGAAAATTCTTTCAGATACGACTGTACAGAAACAAACAGAAGCATCAGGATTAATGAAGGTTCAGTAAAAACATCAGTAAGGCAAACAGCAATTTGTACAACTGTCATTTTCAAGCTTATAAATCAAGATGAAGGCATGACTGTTTCAAACTTACAGTAAGTGCTCTGATAAACAACTTCTCGGTCAGGAAACCAGAAAGCATCCACGTAATAGAAGCCCCCTGGAGTACAAAAAAAAAAGCTATGAGAAAACATGAATTATTATTGCAATATTTTTTCAAACTATAATCCAGAGAAGTTAGTCAGGCTACTCCTATGCTTCAGATTTCATGGAGGTCAAAAATCTTTTCACTGTTTCTTTCATAGACAAATAGATTTGCTACATCAAACAAATCTGCGTGTGCAGCAGAAACAAATTTTGAATGATGAAACAACCAACGAAAAGCATTGTAATTCAACAGTTCCTCTTAAACCTGCTTTGTACCATTAGTTTAGAAAGTTTTATATTACTTTACCTTGCTGTATGTGATGCTGTCAAACAGAGACATTAATGATCCTTTGATCTTGTCTTCACTCTCTGACAGGGAACGAACTCCTATTTCATTGTCTTCCCTTAAGACAGGTTGTACAACGTGATCATAAAAGATTTTATCCTGCAAGAAGAAGACAAATCTAAGTGACCTGAACAGAACATAATTAATCTCAGGAGAGAATGCAGATTATAGAATTAGCACCCATAGAAATAGTCTCTCAATAAACAAGGAATGATCCTTTTCCCCCCTCCCTGGCTCTCCCAACAGCAGAGGCAGGAGCAGCCTGTGGCT